TACAAACAATGCATTCAAGATAATCAGATTGATGGTGTGGTCTTAGCATTTCTAACTGATGAAGGTCTAAATGCTATTGGAATCAACAAAGCTCTACATAGGGCAAAAATTCTTGCTATGGCTTCCAAGAAAAAGATGAACACTGAAAATACCATACGGTTATGTAATGCAATTAAATAAGCCATAAAACTCCAATAGGGCCTATATGCTCTAAATAACTCCTAATAACCTGCATTAAAAGAGGTTTTACAAAAATATATATTTACTTCAATTTTTCTTTCTGTTTTTAATCTGTATTTAGAGTTATAGTAAATGGCTTTGCTCAAGAATATTATGATTACTGTAGTTGATGTTTTGTTGTAAGTTGTGTTTAGGTTATCTTGGTAATAGTATGTAAAGTTTGACTGAAACACTGAAGTGATGTAAAGGCAAACAGGTCTATTACATACAGATTAAATCTGGACTGTGTAAATCTAGTTATTTACATTAAATTATATTATATTGTTGTGTTATTATAAGTTGCACTGAGGATCAATGGGATTAAAAACCTCACCAAGAACTTTCCTTTGGTTTTCAACCATCAATTAGACTACCTAAAATTAACACAAATTGGTTAAGTTTGCCATTAATAAGCATTTATTGCACATATCCACATTTTGTAAAGAATTCTTGCCATGTTCCGAGCCATGTTCAATTACCTTAAATTAAAAAAAATTATCTTGAGTAAATTAAAATTAGAGAAATTGTAATATACACTTGTATTCCACTCTTTACATCCCATCTTTAATGCTTACATCATTTATGGCCATTGCCAAACAATACTTCGTGTAGTCATATTCTCATAAATCAATTATAAGAAAAAATTTGGTTAGCATCATTATTGGTCAACTGGCTTATGAATTATAATTATCATAAAATAACAAAATATTAAATTAATTATAATTTATCATTATAATTTAAATGACCATTAATGATTTTTTAATGCATTTCATAAATTATTTTTGGAGGATGGAGGACCGGCTCGTCATTTTTCGGTAACTTTACCACTGACCAGGCTCAATTCTGAGCCCGCTACAGCAGCATTCTCCCCCTGGACTTTGTCCTCTCATATATTATTTTTTATACTAAAAACGTTCTTTGTCTGCTGTAAAATCTGAACAAAATATTGAAATCTCAAGAACTGAGGAGAATATATTTTTAAATCAGACCGCACCAGAATTGCAGGACCAATGCAGGTACCATTTTTTTATGAAAATCGCTCTTTGGATATGCCATACATTAAAAATAGATATTTGTTAATTTTGTTTAGATTACCTTCGCACTTGTCGTGATTTTCATCTAAAATCAATGTTGGCTTTTTCGACTTTCCCTTTGCTTTTAATAAGCTGGCTAAGTCGTATTAGCTATAACTCTTTCTTATAAATGTCATTTGTATTATAAATTTGAAATACAGAGGCAAAAAATCTCGCTGGTTATAAACATGTGGTTTCTATAATTACCAAACTGCTTTTGTAGTCCAAGCAACAATAATAAGAAGAAATGCTCTTTAATCGTGACCTTTGACGTTGACATCTTCATGTTTAAAAGGTAAGGAATAATAAAGTGAACAATTTCAATATTTTATTGAACACTGATTACATACAGTAAATTCAATTTAAAATTACATTGTTATGTGTTGAATTCAGATACATTATTACGGTGGCCCACAAATGCAAACACAACGCAATATTAACTAAGCACGACGGTGTATTTAGTAAAGCTCAACAGCAAGTAAACTCGAAGAAATATCGATCGGCCCATCACAACACAATATTTGCAAAACACAACAATAAATTCATGAAACACAACACAATATTTGCAAAACACAACAATAAATTAATGAAACACAACACAATATTTGCAAAACACAACAATAAATTCATGAAACACAACACAATATTTGCAAAACACAACAATAAATTCATAAAACACAACACAATATTTCAGTGCAAAACACAACAAAAAAATCCTTAAACACGACACATGCAGCCACGACGTGTTATACTGAATGAGGTTATCACTATAAAATACAATTAATTGTAAAAGAAAAATTCTTAAAACAATCGAGGAGGACATATTGACAGCAGAGATGTAGCTCGTTTATGTAACAGAATGGATGGGAGTATACAATGTTTGTACTGCTCTCGGGAGTTAGAACTAACCTCAATGAACTTTTGTCCAGAATGTGGATCTGCTGTAAACAAGGAAGAACTTCTTATACGCTATTATTTTCATTGTGGATTTAGTTATTCGTCAATTATTTCGTTTTTAAATAACCGGCACGAGATCGAAATTTCTATTCGAACTCTGCAAAATAGGCTGTCAGAATATGGGTTGAAAAGAAGAGGTACAGATACCCCCAATGCAGTCGTTTATGAAGCAGTCCAACAAGAATTAGATGGTCCTGGATGTATGAGAGGGTATCGTGCGATGTGGCACAGTCTCCGTCTAAAATATGGAATTCTAACGCCCAGAAATAATGTCGAAAGAATTCTGCGCGAAATCGATCCAGAGGGAACCGAATTAAGAAGAACTCGTCGACTTAGAAGAAGATCCTATGTAAATCCTGGGCCTAACTTTGCGTGGCATGTAGACGGGTATGACAAGCTAAAGCCGTATGGTTTTCCGATTCACGGTTGTGTGGACGGGTTTAGTCGTCGTGTTATGTGGTTGAAGGTTTGTCGAACAAACAACGATCCATCACATGTTGCATCGTTTTTCTACGAGTGCGTGAAAATAACCAATGGTTGCCCAAGAATATTACGAACTGATTGCGGCACCGAGAACGGAGTCATGGCTTCAATGCAGTGTTACCTTCGTGCCCCAGGAAATGACAACCAAGCAGGTTTAAATGCACATGTATATGGATCGTCGCATTCCAATCAACGCATTGAAAGATGGTGGTCATTCCTTCGCCACGACAGATCCACATGGTGGATAAATTTCTTAAAGGATTTAGTGGAAAGAAATGTTGTTAATACCGCAAATGAAACAAGCATGGAATGCCTTTGGTTTTGTTTCAAAGATATTTTACAGGCAGATCTTGATTCGGTAAAAGATAATTGGAACAGCCACTATATCCGCAGATCCCGATATGACACCATCCCAGGGAGGCCAAACGAGCTGTATTATTTACCTGAAAATAGCGGCTACCAAGATTACAAGTGTGTCGTTTCTGAAGAAGACCTTTGCGATATGGCTGAATACTGTGAATTGTATGATGACGATGATGGTGATGATAGCATATGATGAATACTTTAGTTATCGTGGAAAACAATAATTTAACACTACCATCAAACTGGAGGGAAGCATTATTGTTATACAATAACTTGATGCATTTCGCATAAACACCACTGATCGATGTACTTATATATGCGAACATTACAATTTGTAATTTACAATTAATTAATAATATCATTTTTGAAGAAAACATCGCCTCATCGACGACGCAGGCTAATCTCGGGTGGAAGAAAATTTGTTTCATACTCGTTGAATCAAAAATGGATTTTTTAAATTTGAATAAAACAACTTACAACTATTCACAACCGTATGACATAGCCATAAGCATAGTAATCAGCTAAGTAACTTGTAACTATATACATGTATGTGCAACCAGCAGGACTAAAATGGACACACCCCATAACTATATCTCTTATATTAGGAAAATTTCCGTGGCCAAAAAAATTTTGGAATACAGTCTCTTCTAACTAGACGTTGGTTTTAATCCTGCTGAAGCTCAATGCGAATAAAAAACATTTTAACATAACACAACTTACATAACTATACATATAACTATACATTTGCATGTAATTATGCATATAGTCAAAAAACTTAGTTATAAACAATCATTGAAAAATGCAAAAACTTTACATGGGCTAGATGTACATCCTGCGTTCTCAATTATGCATAGCCAAAACCTTTAGTTAAGAAAAGCTAATGTTAGATCCTTTTTGAAGTCATCATATGTGCTATGGACTACTGGCAAGTGTAATTCACATGAGCAAGTGTTGGCCTTTGGAAATTTAGAGAGCAAACCATCTTTTTCTGGCGCATGGAGGAAACACAGCTCCAAAGACAACCCTAAAGGGGGAAGCTCTTTACATCCACAACTAAAGAAAAGAATGTCCGGGAAATCCAACCCACCAACTACTTTCTCTTCCACATCTTGTAAGAAGTCATTCCAATGCGATAAAACTAAACCTTCCAGAGCAGATTTATTTGAACCTTCTTCACTTCGCAAGACAGAAAAGATAGAGCCGAATGTATCAGCACTAAACTCTGTACTTGAATAACAAAACACACTTTTAAACTGTGTATAATGCATACACATTGCATCAAAAACACCAAGAACACTAAGACCTGCTTTAAACCTCTCAAGGGATGCTTGCACCCTCTCCAATACAAACCAATGAGCAGTTTTTTTAGCAACATTAAAAACATCTTCTTTTGTGTTAAGCACCTCAAGGGTTCCAGCAAGATCAAAAATTGTTTCTAAATTGCTGTTTGATATTACAGTTTGAGCTTCTTAACTGTTGGGGAACTTACAAAAGATTTAAGAGAGCCTTGTAGCTCAAAATCATAGACATCTTCTACATCTACAGATGCTCTCTGCACCCCAATTGTCAATGCATCATAGAGAGACTGACTGAAACATCTGGGACCAGGCCCACCATGTACTACTGACATTGCTATAAGCTGACCAGCATGAAAGTAAAAGTCATTATTCAGGTAATTGGAATTAATTGACAAACACTTTCCTCTTTCACTACCACAAAACAACTGAGAGCATAACATCCACTCAATAATGAGAGTGAAGAATTCTCTCATCGGGCCCCAGAATCGACAGCTCCTTCAGCATTCCCAACATCATCTGTGAATTTGACAGAGACCTTGTTTGCTGGAGAGAATGTCTTTCTGCTTAGGCCTCTTACAGCTCCTTCCCAAATATGACTTCGACTTATATTAAACTTGGATATTTCATTGGAGTTAATTTGAGTATTTAAATTTGAAAGTATGTCTTGCAAAGATTTGTCATCATCTGTAATCTCCAATGGTACTGCTGGGTCCTGTTAATATTCGCTTTCTGAATCACTCCAAGGCATATTCTCATCAAAAAGCAAAGATGCATACAGCAAGTCATCATTAGCAGTAAGCAACATCATTGTATCAGATGAAGATGCATCAATTTCATTACTTTGCACAATATTATTATTGGAACTAGAGCTCTTATCATGTTGTTGTGTTGCGCCATAACTTGGTGGTACACTGTTACTAGAATTGATTCTATCAAGTTGTCTTTCAGAATCTGAATCAATTTCAATGGGACATTTACCATCATCACTATAGGGAAATGAGGCCATATAATTAGCATGAATGACCTTGATTGAAGTACTATATACATGATATATTATTGCTAAAATATTAACAATTTTATTTTGATTACCTGTTTTGTGGACCAATATATCCTGCAGTGTCATTTTCTTTTTGTTCCTTTTTCCTAGTAACATTAATTCAATGTTAGTTATTTAGTGTGACAGAGTGCTGCTACATACATCCATGAAGCTAGTGATTAATCTTGTAATTATTTTAATCACCAAATTAGCCATAAAGCAATAATTGGAAAAAACAACCTAAGTAATTCACTTTTTTCATAATTAAACAAAGTGCTAAAAGGAGAGGGGCCTGATGGCAATTAACTAGCCTCTAAACAATAGGCAACTTCAGTTGTAACTTTTGGGGTGCATAATTGTTAATTAATTTATATATTACCAATTATATGTCATTTCAAGTCATCATAAAGACTAGCTTATTTTTTTCATATTATATAGTACACCTTTTGTCTCAGTAAAACCACACTGAATATTGCTCAACCTTTATTCTGCAAATAATGAACTTCTCAAATGATTTAGGTCATGTGTTCTACAGAAAGTTGACTATAAAACACGTGTTTTATAGCCTCCTGGCTGCACCTTGCACAGGCAGCACTTCCCCTTACCTCATTAGGGTCAAAACCTGGGATTTTCCAATTTTATAGAAATATATTTTATTAATTTACCTGACATTTTGATCACGATCATACTGATGGTGATCATCACTGCCAATGTCTTCTGAATTCATATTGTCGGGTTCATCAGGACATAAATATAATGTAATTCTATTATATGGCTTCCCCAAGTCTTCTTTATACTTCCTCAATGTGAATTCTTCTTCTTGTCCAAAAAGAGTTGAACAAGGTTGGCCGTCAGGGTATACTAGGTTCCAACTCAATTTGGTATCAAATGATTTATCACATGCCTCCCGTTTTGTTAGCGCCATCGTGAAAACTTCTGCATAGGGGGCATCTTTTTTAACTTTCAGTGGCAATGATTTTCCCCGAACTGGAGTTGTTGTATCAGCGCTGATGTATTTCATTAATCCAATGTTTATTAAAGCAAAAGGTTCTGTATCTTTTGACTTTTTTTTAGTCTTGGACGACGTTCTGAAATGTGTCGATCTTTCTTGCCTTTTTTTTGCAGCAAACTGCTCAAAAGTGAGACATTTTATGTCTTTTTTACCGTCTTTTTTGGAAGAGACCTCCCCCTTTTCCACTGCTTTATGCCCACAAGTAGGGCAAAATTTATTTGTTGCCTCCGTGGGTCTGCCACATTCTGAGCAAAACATGGTTTAATATACTATTTTCGGAAAGTAAAAGCAAGTCGAAGTTCGGTTCACTGGTTCGCCATTGGATATCGTATTATTAATAATTTATTATACATGAAGTATTACATTGTTTTGCAAATATTGTGTTGTGTTTTATGAATTTATTGTTGTGCACTGAAATAATGTGTTGAATTTATTGTTGTGTTTTATGAATTTATTGTTGTGTTTTGCAAATATTGTGTTGTTTTTTATGAATTTATTGTTGTGTTTTGCAAATATTGTGTTGTGTTTTATGAATTTATTGTTGTGTTTTGCAAATATTGTGTTGTGTTTTATGAATTTATTGTTGTGTTTTGCAAATATTGTGTTGTGATGGGCCGATCGATATTTTTTCCAGTTTACTTGCTGTTGAGCTTTACTAAATACACCGTTGTGCTTAGTTAATATTGCGTTGTGTTTGCATTTGTGGGCCACCGTACATTATTCACTAGTCAACAATTAATAAATGCCAATGTGCCTAACAAAGATTAACATGGGCATGTGAAATGTTAAATTTGTATGTAATTATCCAGGGGCTGGTTGTCCAAAATCTGGTTAGCTTAACCAAGGGTTAATTAAAGCACATCAATTTCAATTGCTTGTTTAAAAATTTTATAAAGTCTTTACCAATGTCTTTTTTCATAAATATTTTCTGGTCTGACTAAAGCCATATTTTGTAAATTTTTTAAAACGAACAGGGGATTAAAGTTAGTTAGCTTTGAACAACTGGCCCAAGTACAATTAAAGAATTTCACAAAGAATATTAAATTCAATGAAGAACAATAATAAATAGCCGGATAATACGCAGATTAATCTTTGTTTGGCAAAGTGGCTCCAGTTATGTTCATTGTAAAATTTGTACAATTTTCTAAGATGTACTTAAGGGCCGGCTTCCTTTTTGCGCCCGCTGTCCTTAAGGACAGCAAAGCTATGTCATTGCCTCGATCTTGAATGTTTGGCAGACCGCAAGTTTGCGGAAAAGGCCTAAGCCGAGACTAGGATACGTCATATCCTGTCCGTGCCATGCAGCGTTGCTCAAGAGCTCAGAAGGCATCAGTGCGCATCATAATAAAGGAACTAGAAAGTTCAAGTTAAGGTATGGGAATATGTTTTTTTGTCTTTTGAGCCGACTGGAAACTCAAATAATCTACTAGTTGTTCGGAAACAATAACGACCTCGTGCTATTGCTGTACAGTACTAAAATGTTAACGACGTTTTCATTTGTTTCTTTCAGTTCCAAGCAGTAACTACAAGTATTCTCTGAGTCTTCAAGATATCTCCGAGAATTCAACCGAGGCCTTGTGTCTGCACTGACCCATAGCTAAATCGGTCAGGCAATTGCGTGTTGTATCGCAATCTACCAAAAGTCTGCTAAAAATCTACTAAAAATCTGCTAAAAATCTGCAAAACATCTGCTAAAAACCTGCAAAAAATCTGCAAAAAAACCTACAAAACTACCAAAGCTACCAAACAATCTACTGAAATCTTGACCAAACGAATGAACTCAAACAACAATATTCACTGACGTCTGACACTACTACTAGCACTGTTAGTATACAGGAAATACTGGTAAGTCCAAAATATGGAAATATCAATTGAACAGTACAGAGCAAGAATTGGTGCACATGTATGCTTACTCAGGCAAAGAGAAGTTGCTAAATGTCTATCAGGTATTTTCTGGAACACAATGCTAATGTTATTTTATTTAAATGTCTTTTACTTTCCGGCTTTAAGGCAAATAAACGAACAATATAGCTAATCAAATGAGACAATTATCTGGTTTATGAAAATGGTTTGTTATCACCAAGTCTATGTACCTGGTTTATTAAGATTGTGAAGTTTAGTTTATGAAGTTGAAACTAACCCAGGACCAACACTGTGTGATATCATCGATGGTACCCAAACTATCTGTGCTGATTTTAGTCAAGGTTGTCAAATTAGATTAGGGACAATGCAGGAAAGCAATGTGTTGCTATGTCTTTGACAGCAATAGTTTTCAGCCAAATACAAGATGTTAATAGCTGGAATTCAGGATTGTTAAATACAATTTTATTACATGCAAATGAACTATATACAATTATCACTAATTCTGTAAACAAAGACCTGTTATTATTGACCGATATACCTGAAATGGTTTCTATTAATGAAACAATATACAATTTACAGTACAGTGAGTCATATGCTGGGGATGTATTTATGGCACAGAATAATGAACCTTATTTCACACTTCAAAGTGCAATGAGCAAAAGATTTCTGTCGTCTGAATTGAACTACACTTACGCTCTTCTTACCATTAGTTGCAATACTGTGGCAATTATTAAAATGGCAGAAGGATCTTTCAGAATATTTGATTCTCATGCCAGAGATTTATTTGGTGCCTCAAGTCCATTTGGAAAATGCATTTTAATTACAGCAAGCAGTATTCAAAACCTTGTTTCATACTTTCAGACTGTATCAGCTAAGGGTATAATGCCTTTTGAAATTAAAGCAGTAAATGTTTATCTAAATAGTCAGGGTGTATCAAGATTGAGCAACAAGACACCAATAATTTTAGAGCATGCAATGGAAGATGAACAATCAGTACTAAAGCATAATTTATGTACAAAAATAGGTCATAGCCCAGTTGACAAAAATGCTGTTAATCAATGCAAAAAAAGAGAGAAAAGGTTATCAAAACAAAGGGAGTATGCTAAACAAAAACGAGCGAGCGAAAGTTGTGAATCCAGAGAGAAACGTTTATTAAAAAACAAGAGATATCTACAGGTAAAACGACAAAATGAAACTATAGAGCAAAAACGAAATAGACTTGCAACACAACAGCGATATGATCAACAAATTAGTCAAAATGAAACACTTGAGCACAAGAAAGCCAGGTTTGCACAAAATAAGGAAAACTATCAGCAGAACATTAATAACCTGGTAAAAAAATTCCATGAGGCTGTATCAGAAGGCCCATTATATATTTGTACATGTTGTGACCAATTATGGTACAAGCACAGTGTTCAATGTGCAAATATCCTTCGTCTGTCTAATACCAACATGGCCAAGCATTTGCAAGGAATAATTAGTGTTAATGGCAAAGAATGGATTAGTCGTGTAACAAGTATTTAAAAAAGAATAAAGTGCCACCATGTGCCGTGACAAATGGAATGAAATTCTTTGACCTAAATGAATTGGTTTCTTTGACCTAAATGAATTGGAATGTAGGCTCATTGCTCCAAGGTTAGCCTTTGAAAAGATTATGCAAGCACCAAGAGGTAAACAATTTAAGATCAATGGCAATGCAGTAAATGTACCAGCTGATGTCACAAATACTGTCAATATGCTACCAAGGTTACCTCATGAGTCTGGTACTATTAAAGTCCAATTAAAGAGATGTCTACAATACAAAAGTTCAGCATTATCTTTAAATGTTAGACCCCATAAAGTTTTACAAGCAGCGGCAGGGTTAGCAAACAACAGTGATCTCTATAAAGAACAAGGGGTCACACTTGATGCCAACTGGGCAAAGCAATTTAATACAAGTGCCACTGCTGGTATTGAAAGTGCTACAAGTAACAATGAAGGTAACTTGACTAATAATAAACAAAATAATGTAAATGATGATGGCTGGAGTGAGGATGAGGCAGAAATTCCAGCAGGTGTCACTGATAGTATGCTCACTGCCACAGATTTTCTCAGTGATGGTGAGAGAGAGGGCATCTATAGCATTGCTCCTGGTGAAGGTAATACACCACTCAGTATATTCAGAGACCAACATTCTGAAGAACTAGCATACCCTGGTATATTTCTTAAGCAAAAACGACAAGGTAACAAAGAAAGATTAGTCAGTGCATACTACAGTGAAATATGTAAATCTGAGTTAAGATGTTCAGACCGCAGAGCTGCTATGTGTGTTGAGAATATTTTTTTTTAAACAAAGAAACTGCAAATGAAAATACTTTTAGGGAAATCCCAAATCGCTTTACGAAAAAGTCAGTCTGGGGATCAGGCAATCACTGCAGTTCATTTAAAACAACAGGGTAGTCTTGAGAACCTTATTCATCATGATGAAGGGTACAAATTTTTAAGAGCATTACAAGGATCACCACACATTTTTTGAAAAAGCAAAAAAAAATCTGTTTTCTATGATTCGTCAACTTGGTCCAGCAACATTGTTCTGCAGTTTTTCATCTGCAGAAACAAAATGGAACTATTTACTTAGAATACTAGGCAAGCTTGTGACAACAAAAACTACAGTGATGTTGAACTTGACAATTTAGATTGGAATGATAAATGTAGGTTAATTCAAAGTGATCCAGTAACATGTGCCCGACACTTTGATTTCCAATTTAATACATTTTTAAGGCAATTTTTGTTGAGTAGCACTGCACCCTTAGGAAAAATCAAAGATTGGTTTTATAGAGTTGAATGCCAACAACGAGGCTCGCCTCATATAAACATGCTGATATGGCTTGAGAATGCACCTGTGTTTGGAGTTAGTGATGATAAGGATCTGGCTTCATTTATTGACCAAATTAT